TGGGCCACTCTATCAATTTGCAAGAAGGAAAAAAAGGTTTTATAGATTGAGGCCAGAGCAGAATCATGTTTTCAGATATCATTGGGAGTTGGGTTCTAAGAATGATACCACTCCTTGTACGTGAGCCATAGAAATATTAGGTATATGAGAGGTTAGCCGGACAAAGAACAGAGAACGGAGATTTAAAATCATGAAAGGATGGATACTTGAAACCTAAGGGTAGGGGGCAGGGTAGAGAGAAAAGACTCAGAGAACCTTTTCTTCTCTTGATTAAGTCAGAAAGAGGAAGGAGTGAATCTTTCACATCCTAAAATCACTCTAGCAAGGAATACAAAGAAGTATCTGCATTTGTATATAGCAAGAATAAGACACAAAGGGGACAGCTAGGTGGCACAGTAGATAGTGTTTTGGTCTTGGAGTTGGGAGGACCTGAGTTCAAATCCGGCCTCAGACATATACTACTTACTAGCTGTGTGACCCTGGGCGAGTCACTTAATCCCAATTGCCTCATCAAAAAAAAAAAAAGAATAAGACACAAAGAAGAGCAAGTGAATTATTATATGGGCAGCTAAATACTTCAGTGACGGAGAAAGAGGTTGGAAACCTAAAAATCCATTTTTTCATTGTCACTACAATAATGACCTTTTTTTCAGCTTCCGTTGCCATTGCTGTTGAGAGGATGCCTTTTATGCATATTTACATCTCTATATGCACGCACGTATGTGTAGGCCAGCTCTGGGTGATCCATAATGTCTTTCCTAGGGAAGAATGCCACTTGGCAACAGAATTCTTTTATGAGAACTAGAGACTCTTTCTTTGAGAGATAGAAAGCCACAGAGCTAAGTCTTAAATTCCACCCTCCATATTGCAAAAAAACAGTCATGGAAGTAAACAGAGGACAGAAGCTGGCCCTGAACAGACTCAGACACTTAAAAAGGCAGCCTGAGAAAATAAAAATCTAGCTGACCAAGTCTAGACAAGAAACTACAGAAAACACATTAAGAAAATAACTTTTTAAATACATGCTATAGTATGTCCCATAGATGCATGTAAAGTATGCTGTGGGTATAGTTTAAAGACAAATAAGCACGTGAATAGAAAGAGATGGATTGACGAATAGTTACAGACAGGCAAACACATACACACTCACACAGAGTGAACCTTGCCACATTCAGCTGTAAATAAGGAATTTAACATTCATTCCACAGGCTAATGGTGCTTATAGCCATCCAAGAAAGATCGACTTAGATAATAGGGTAGTAGAGTGCCAGAGAGCCTGAAAGGAATGGGCTATTGTGTTTGACTAGTTTCCATGTATAAATTAGTGCAGAAAAGAAAAAGAAATTCAACAGAAAAACACATGTACTTTATTATAATTCCTAGTGTTACTCCTGCAACCCTCATAATAGCAGGCAAAAGAACTGAAAACCACTGAAAAGAGGTAAAAGGCAAATGCAGATTTGATTAAATGCCTTTCTGACAAGAAGTGGTTTGACTTCAAATTTGGATGAACGCACATGTCAATGGCTGGTCATGGTGTTAGCCCACATTCTCTTCAAGTTAAACAATTGGCTTGGGAGTGGGGGCTAGAGGAGAAGAAAGAGGGAAGAAGATAGGAAGATTTGGAACAGTTTTATCTATTCGATTTTTATTTGAACTGAGCGTATAGATTAAATCTTTTGAACTACTGGTTTTTATATCCAGGGTAGAAAGAATATAAGATGTTTGATTTTTGCACGTAAAAATAATGGACCCCACACTTAAATAAATATGAAAGGCATGCAGGCCTCATTTTTTTCTTCAGGAAAACTGACCCTCTTTGGAAGGATTTTAATTTCAAGTCTCAAAAAATATTGAGATCACAACATTTCCCATTGACAGAATAGTTTATCACCAAGACCTTCCTGGAGATGTTTAGCCACCACTGAAATGAAGGAGATTCCAGGGTGGAGGCAGGGAATACCACTTGAGACACAGAACATTTTTACAAGCCAGAAGAAACAGGATTCTTAGGAAAACGTCTCAACAAAAGTGCATGGACCACAGCTTTTGCTTTTGAAACACTTGGTTATGCTGCCTTACCATGCGTGCTTAAATGGTGGATTGATGCTACTAAATTTTATAATTCTAGCTCCAAACTTAACAGTGATTAGGCAAATGGACCACTTTATATTAGACCTATAATTCAATTTTGACCTCCTACCCATTGTACCTGAATGAGTTGCTATTCAGTAAGTGCAAAATTTGTACAACGATTCCATATGACTCTGTTGCTAAAGATGGAAAAAGCCTATAAAATAAATAATTCATATTTCTGCAGTCTTTAAGGTTTATAATAACTCTGTGAGGAAGGTGGCTCAAGTATAATTATCTGCATTTTTCAGATGAGGGACCTGAAGACTTAGAGGAGCCAAGGAACGTATCCAAGTTCACAAAACTAGCAGTTATTGAAACAAGTTATCTCTGTCTTCAGTGCTCCCTTTACTATCAAAGTATGAAAGTAATGAAGAAAAGAAAGGGGGGAGCAGATCTGGTCTGAGATATTTTACAGGTCAATACGCTTCAGTGCTGGTGTTTTACTTTTTTGGAACTGAATACATTGGCTGATATTTATCATACAATGTTACTTTTCAAGTTCTAAACCTTGGCAATCAGAAGCGTTGTCAGCTCTCTTCCATCAATAGCTTGCAATTTCATAATGCATTTAAATTTATGTACAAATGAACATTTAACTTTTTTCTTGTGTATATCTACTCTTGTTTAAGCTTTGCATATCTTCAATGCTTTTAAATCACGCAAATAGGACTTTTTATACATGTGCCTGATTGATCATGATAAGTTATATATCCTTAAAGATGATGTTTGTAACAAATGGCATATGTAGCATATATCAAAAAACACTTTAAGATGATTCATCACTAAGCAGACATTTTTTTCCAAAACTATATCAAGAGTGCATTTCTAAAAGAAAGTATTTAAATAAGCTAATATATTACTGGCAATTTGCTTTACAATAAAGAATAATGGAAAAAGTCTCAGAAAAAAAATGGTTTTTTTTAAATCACAAAAATTGAGGCTTGCCAAGAACTGACAGGGTAAAACGCAACACATCACATGCATCACAAGCGAGCTTCTTTACAATTGCCTATCCAATCATCTAATCACAAGCTATGGAAAGGAGCAAATAATGGCAATTGTATTGCCAACATAATATAAACAGAATGCTTACTAGTTGGCAATCTCCCTCCCTCTTTTTTCTATTTCTAACAGGACAGCTCTGAGTTCAGCCTTTACACTCATTGCTGTACTTCTAAAGAAATATTTTTATGTAGTATTTATACATTATGGTTACTGAGTCACAATGATACAATTTATTAAAAGGTACAAATTACAAAATATCAACATAGCAAGTGATTACTGTAGATGAATACTCTTCAAGATGCCCAATTTATTTTGAGTGGCTTGCTTTGCTTTTTCCAGGGAACAAGGTAGACATGTGTTGCTAAAGCTTAATTAGAATGAAATAGTCTGGTACTATGAATTCCTCAGGGCCATCTATATTTTGGTTGGGCTTCCATTGGCTTGTCGCTGTTCTGAGGAAGTACTAACATTCCATAAATATGACAGGGAGGGCTGCAATCACGTTTGCTTGGAATCAGCGTGTGCAAACTTTGGAATCAAATCTGCAGATGAGGTTTACAAAGCTGCTTGCCCAGAACACTCTGGTTTAAAAAAAAATGTGCATTGCTATTAATATTTTCAGTGCAGATTTTTTTTTGGACGGTAAATGTTCATTTTCTGCCTGTAAAACTAACTATGAGTCACAACAGAACATGCACTTTGAGTCCAAAATGCAGGCACTATGCAGTGGTGACCAGCTTCCTCTGCAGCATCTATCTTAGCAGTTTGATGGTGGAATGTTACTCTAACTACTCCTCCCAACCCCCATAAAAAAGTCATCGGTTTTTCATCTGCACAAGTATACCTGAGATCAAAAGGCAGAATCCTTAATTCATAAATACTAGCATTAACTTGTATCTATGAATGATTTGCAGTCATTTTTTTTATGGGTGATCATCAGAGCTAACTGCACGGTGAATAGCTAGTTTCCTTTTTAACCTGCTTTCTCAATACATGTGCACAGGGAGGGGGGATCATAAAAAAAGTAGAGAAAAGACTTTCACAAGCCACAGTCAGAGCACTACAGTGTATTCCGTTGAGTTCAAAGCCACTGCTATCCAAATTCCAAGCATGCAAACCATCATTTATACAGTCCATAGCTCGCAAGTTTATGCTGTGTTTCCCAAGTCAATCTCATGATATTTTTCTGTACCTGTAACCAATTACAACAAGTCTCCAAGATTTCATTTCACTCGGGGAGCTGAAATTGAGGGGCTTTCTTCTTCTTCTTTTTAATCAGTGAGACAGCAAATTTACCTGGCACTTTAAGATGAAAACGTATCATGCATACAGTCAAATACAACAACAACAACATCATAACACAACACAACAACATAAGGCAAAGTATATGGTAAGATTTAAGTATTGAAATGAAAAAGACATTTACCAGGAGTAGGAAAGCCAAGAAGAGGAGCGTTGTCACGCCAGGAGTTGCCCAACGGCAGCGTTCCATGCTTGGATCCTTGCCGGAATGTGAATCGGACACTGAATAAGCCGCTAAGTGCTCCTCTGCCTCCTGTCACATCCAGTACTGGTGCTAACACTTCAGTCCTGCCTATCAGCTTCCATCAGCCCTGCTCACATTTCCTGACCAAGTGGTGGGTGGGTGGATGGGTGGGGGGTAAGCTGAATGGAATCTCTCTCGGAGCAGGCAGCCAGCCAATCAGGCTTCTGCTAATCAGACATGCAGAATAACAAAGCCAGGGGTACAGAGAAAGTATAACAGAGAGAAAGAGAGAGGAAAAAAAGGGGGAAAGTAAGAAAAAAGAAAGAAGACAGAAAGCAGCAAATAAAGAAAAGAAGAGCAAAAGATGAAGAATTTCAAAGATGAAGCAAAGCTCTGGGCTTTTAAAACTAACCTGGATAGTTCTGTGGGAGGTATATTTCTGTTTGCCTTTTGTTTGTATTTATTCCTGTCATTTGGTAAAAGTACAGTAGCTCTTTTTGTGACTGTGTACTGTTCTATTCAGGAGAGAAACTTAATCCCTGTCAATATATAACATGTGCCATAAAGGGAAAGAATCATAGACAAAAGCCTACTCTTAACATGCTCTTTAAATGTATTCTATGCAACTTTTATTTCTCCTCTATAAAGTTGCTACTTTTTTTTTTTCCTTTTTGGATGTGAAAAAGGCAGACTGCATGTGATTTAGAACCCACTCCCCCCCCCCAACCTAAATGAATGGTAAATGTGTATTAATTATTTCAGCTGCAGAGGATGGCAGAGTTGTCTTTTTGTACAAATCACAAAAAAGCAACATGATTCTATGGATTTTCAAGGGAGAGACAGAAATTCAGATTTTTCACTTTCCAAAGAGCACCTGACAAAGAGGACAAGTTCACTCTAATTTATGTTTGAGTAATTGCTTTGACAAGTCAACCTTAGGATTGTCTGTGTTAGTATGGGGCAGGGGAAATGACATTAAATCCATAGAGAAACCCGAAGTTTCACTTTAACTAGAGCCTCCTGCCCAATGGAATCTGTTATTAGAGCCATTCTGCATAGCGTAATGGGCAATGGAAGTTTTACCTCCTTTTCCTTTGCCTGTTGAAGGTGGATAAGAGAGGAGAAAGAGGGAGAGGAGAGGAAAAGAGAGGAGGGAATATGTTAAAAGGAGAAGAGCAGAGGGGAGGGAAGGCAAAGTAAGGGGGGGGAAGAAAGTGGGGATGTTAGGATTTCAGGAGAAGGGAGGGAAGAGGAGGAGAGGAAGGGAGAAAAAAAGGATGGGAGGGATGATGTTAAGAGAAGAAGAGGAGAAGGGAGAGAGTGGGAGGAGAGGGAAGGGAAGAAAGTGAACAGGAGCAGATGAGGGGAGGGGAGAGAAGAAAAGACAAAAAAGGAGATGTTAAGAGGAGGAAAGCACAGAGAAGAGAGAAAGGGAGAAGGGGAAATGAATGGAAAAGAGGAGAGAGAAGGGGAGGAGAATAGGAGAGGGGAAGAGAGGAAAGGAGGGGAGGTAAGAAGGGAAGAGAAGAGAAATGAGGAGAGGAGATGTTAGGAGAAAGAGAAGAAGACCAGAGAGATGAAAGGAGAGAAGGAGAAGAAAGAAGAGGAGAAAGGAGAGGAGAGGAGCAGGAAGGAGAAGGGAGAAGAGAAAGGAAGTGAGGAAAGGAGAGGAGAAGGAAAGAGAAGATAGGAGAGAAGAGGAGAGGGGCAGGGCAGATGTTAGGAGGAGAAGAAGAGGGAGAGAAGGAAGGGGAGGAGAGTAGAAAGAGAAGAGGAGAGGAGAAGAAAGGGAAGAGAGAAAAGGAGAAGGGAGGAGAGGAGACCTGGGAAGGAGAAAGGAGAAGAGACAAGAGAGAGGTACAGGAGAAAAAGAGGCAGCAAAGAGAGACAGAGAAATAGGAGGCAGAGACAGAGAGACAGTGACAGGGATTGGAAGGTGCCTTCCAACTATGCAGTTCTATGACAGGATGGTCATATTTGAGTGGAATTGATGATGAGCAGTGAAAGGGATAGAAGAGTAGACTATGGATCTGGGAGGAAGTCAAGAAGCTTGAGTCTGGCCAGATAATCCCCAAATCAGAAAATGAGATCCTAAACAAACAAAAGTTGACTGAATGAAATAAATATTTTGCTGATAATTTGTGAAAGTGTTAAGTGCCAAACTAAGACTTATTTTACCTTCTCTCCCATACACATGTGAAGTAAATAATTTAATATACATCTACTATATACTTCCCTAATGAGATACTTCAAAAAATGATTTCTATTGCAGAACCTTTAATAGTCCAAGAAAGTATACATAATGCCTTCCATGGGTTAAGAATGATTTTCCACAAACCTCTTTCCCCCTCTTCTTTTTCTTCTTTCAATCAGGGAACATGAGGAATACTTGGTGGTGCTGTGACAGGCATGTGACTACAAGCAGCTTTGCATACATATATGCCTGCAGTGTTGCATGTTAAAAAGGTAGGGAAAAGCAGGTTGTTCAACCTCAGGTTACTTACTGCATATGGTATATCAATTAGAGATGGATAAGCTGTTAAAATCCTATTTCCAACTTGTTAGGAGCTTGAGGCATATAAAGATTCCCTTGGATTTTCTTGATCAAACATGTAGACTTGGAAAGAATCTGATAATACAAACCAAACACAGAGAGATGCTTGATTCTATATACTTTTTGGTTTTGGAACTATTTCCTTTGCAAATCTTTCAAAAACTACCTAATACTGGCAAATCAGAGAACATGATTAGACTTAAACTCTTGAGTGATATTATCTGAAATTCTCATTACCCTAAAAACAGTTGTGCCATGAACTATTATCACTCATAATACGTATATTGTCTAACTATATTTTATACCTCAAGACTTTTGCTTTTAGTTTTGTGTCCATTCTTGGAACAGTTTTAACAACTATTTCTTAAAAATCAGAAGATTTTTTTAGAGTCCAGTATTTAGTGGGAATATGTGCACAGAGAAGAGGAAGCAAGTGCAATTATTTCAATGAATATTTATTTATAGCCTCCCAGCTCTATGCTTGGCACTGGGAATACCAAGATAAAAATTAAGGTCCTACTGTCCTCAAGGAGTCTCTGTTCTCCTCCATAGTTAGTTTCTGCTTGTAAAACCAAATATGAGTCCCAGCAGAAGATTTGAATCCAAAATGCAAGCACTATGCAGTGGTGACCTGTTAGCCTCTAGCACATCTCTCTTCAATCAATCAATCAGTTTGATGGTGGAATGTTACTCTAACTATCCCCCTCCCCCATAAAAAAGTATTCATGTTTTTCATCTGCAGAAGTATCACTGAGATCAAAAGGCAGAACACAAGGAAAGGTCACTTCAAGATGCATGATTTCTCATGATAGAAAGACATCCCAGGTGTGGAATTGAGAAATGCAGCAATCTTTGGAGCTTAGCAGAGATCTACCACTAAATGTAACTTCTTCAGGGATTTACAAAGAGAAAAATTCTTTTAGTGCAAGACTTGTGAATTATCCCTTTGCCACACATGTTCTCTACATGTGTGCCTCACACTCCATTGGACTCTTAGTTTAAGCTCACCATTTCCATGGATGCTGTTAATAAGGAAATGCGTGCCCTGGTTTTTTAGGGGATCATTTTCTACTAACTGTTCACACTAAACCATCTGAGTAAAGACTTCTTCTAAAAGCTAATTACATGCAAACATGGTAGAATTGCAAAGAACAACTTAACCCCAAAGAAGAGACATGAGAAGACACCTCCTCTTACTCCTTTGCACAGTGGGGGGAGGAGATTGGTTCTCAGGTATGGATCACTGTAATTAATGTCAGATTGTTTTGAAATATTAATTGGCTTTGTTGAACACATTTTTTTTTCTAAAACTCTTAGTTATAAAGGATGTACCTCTGAGAGGCAGAAGTGGAGGTACAAAGGAGTAAATCTAGGTGTTGTAAAAAGAAAATAAAATTGGTTATAAAAAAGCTACTTAAGTCTGCTTGTCTGCTTCTTAATGGTAAACATAATAGCATGGGAACAGAAATGACAGTACTTGAACTATAGCTTATCAGGGGTACTTCTAGAACCCTGATTAGCAAATTGTCAGTGCCCTATTGGAGACACCAAACTTTGAGTGTGAGTGCACATTGGGTAAGTGGCCCCCCATGGAAGAATACAGAACGAGAAAAGGAAGTAGTCCAGTAGGTAGAAGAAGAGCTAAGAAATACCATTATCCCAGAAAACAAAGGAGGAGGCCATCAGAAACTATAAATGAGTTGTATAGAGTGAGAATTGAGGAGAAAAGCCTTTAAATTCAACATACCCACAATCTCTGGAAACTTGAAGAGAGTAGTTTGGATTGAGATGTACACTCAGGCACCAGACTAGAAGGTGAGAAATAAGTTGAAGGTAGGAAATTATGGGAATAAGTATAGTTGATTTTTGGTTGTGAAAGAGAAAAGGGTTATAGGATGATAGATTAGGGAAATGTAAGGGTCAAATTGAGGTTTTAAAACCAATGGAAAACTTGGATATGTTTGTAGGCAGCAGGGAAGGCACCAATGGATAAGGAAAGATAAAAATAAAGGAAAGAGATAGGATGATCTACCAGGCAAGTTCCCAAAGGATATAGGAAAGGATAGAATGAAGGACATAAATAGAAGAGTTGGTGTTGTCAAGGGGTAGAGAACAAAGTGTTTAAAGGCAGAGTGACAGTGTATAGCTGAACTGGTCAACTGTAAAGTCAAGACTGAAGGGAGGGAAAGTGAAGCCAGGGGATATTCGACAGACTGAGAGAACAGTGGGAGATAGGAGTACTGTAGGTGACAGGGAGGACAAATAATGGGTTTAGAATGAATGAAGCTGAGAGAAATAGAAGTTATATTGGAAAGGATTCAAGAATGTGCAATTGAGGAAGAACATCTGGGCAGGACAGGGAAATCAAAAGGTACATAGCCCTCAAAGAGGGAGTCAATGAGGTTGACAAACTGGGAGGCTGAGATGTTTGACGGGACATCAACATACATATTGATGTCCTTGAGTATGAGGACATGGGTTGGGATGGAGATGAATGCTGAGACTTAGCTACTAAACTCCTTGAGAAATGAGGGAGACTGATCTGAATCAGGCTGGAAGATTACTGCAATGAATGGGTGATCTAGATGGATGAAGTGGATCTCAAAGGAAGAAAAGCTGTTGAATGATGGAGCAAAAGAATGATCTGCATGTGGGAGTGAGGAACAGAGTATACTATTCTGGTTCAGTGTGACAGGGAGTGTGAAAAAAAGAGGCTTCAATGCTGGAGCAGATGGGCAGGGATGTACTTTTTCCTGGAGGGAGTAAAGTTTCTAAAAGGACCACAAAACTGAAAGAACATGAGATAAAGAGACCTAGGATGAAGCAATATATATATATATATATATATATATATATATATATATATATATATATATATAATATATATATATATATGTATATGTATATATGTATATATATGTATATGTGTATATATATGTATGTATATATATATGTATATGTATATATGTATATATATGTACATGTGTATATATATGTATGTACGCATGCATGTATGTAGGTACATACATATGTATGTACATACTTATATTTGTATGTACATATATATACATACATTTATGTGTGTGTGTGTGTGTGTGTGTGTGTGTGTGTGTGTGTGTGTGTGTGTATATGTATATATACTAACTATATAATGGGAGTTCCAGAGGGTACTATAGCTTGTGAGGAGTAGGGTTGAGATTATGGGAAGAGGTAACAGCGGGAAGGGATTTTTTTTTCTCTTCTGTACCTGGCTTCTAAAACACAGGGATGAGGAGTTCTGAATTTGCCTGGCATAGGACAAGGAAAATGATAAGTGAGCAGGGCCTCTACCCAGAGTTATGTGAGGATTAAATGTAGTGTCACAACTGGGGGAGAGAGGAAGGAAGAAGATAGCTTCAGTTTTTAAGGGTAGTCACTCCAAATATGAGAGAGGTGGGGTTTGAAGTAATAGGGAGTTTGGTTTGGGGCATGGGGTCAACAAATCGCTAGTATTTGAGTTTCCCAGGGTAGACTGAATTCACACTCAGTGAGAGCCCCTTAATCTCACTCGAATATATGTGTGGAGGAGAGAAACGGGAAATGTGACACATCTTTACAAAGCACTTAGCTCTCACCATGTGAGTCCTCAGAAATATAGGCTCCCTGTAGATGTAGGGCTTTAAGGAAGGGGATTTCTGGCAGTTCGCTACTCAAGATCATAGAGAGATGTGAATCTCCTTCATTGTGAAGCACTCCTATAGTTCTTTCAGCTTGGTATCTCTGGTGAATATAGACCTTATATAATCTTTGGTTCCTCAAGACTCTGGATCAATTATATTTCAGAGAAACTTTTCACTTCGTTGATGGCAGAGGAGTACTGTGGTTATTGGACCCTTAGGAGTTGGATGGAATATGCAAATACATAGAATCAGCTCTAGAACTTCATGCCAAGATGGCAGGAAATGAGACAAAGTCAGAAGATACCCTGAATGTGCAACAAGTCCTGGGTTGGAGTCCCCAAATATACAGATACTTGAATACCTTTGGTTCACTGAAGCTCTTGATGAGTTTATGAATCTGTTCAGGATCTTAGCTGGAAATGTACCCACTAAGGTATAGATCCTTTATTCCATCTCAGATGGAATTGAGTTCCTGTAGCAGCTAGCATTTATATAATGCTTTATGGTTTACAAAGCACGTTACAAATATCTCATTTTGTCCTCATAACAGTCCTGGGATGTAGGTGCTATTATTATTATCATCCTTTTACAGATGAGGAAACTGAGGCAAGTAGAGGTTAAGTGACTTGTTCAGGGTCATATACATAGTAAGTATCTAAGACTGGATTTGAACTCAGGTCTTCCCAATTCCAGGTCTGACGCTCCTTCCATTATACCACCTAACTGCCATAAATATGATATGCTATTTAAGCTGAGAATGAAAAGTTGTCATCACTATTTTAGTTGTCAAAATTTTTACTAATAACTACCATAGTGCTCCTCTAGAACATTTTTAGAAATGAAACCTGGCAGAACACTCTGAAGTCACAGAATCCCATCTGCTCTGTTTTGGTGCTCAATGCTTTGTTAATATTCTGCTCTGTATGTACATACCAATGTGTCTTTCCTAGAATATAGTTTCCACGAAGTCAGGAAATATGTCTTTTCAAGACATGTCAACAAGTATTTGTTGAGCACTGTTAGGTAACAGCACACCCACCACCATGCTACGTGTTGTGAGGAATCACTGTCTCTGCCTTCAAAGTGTTTAATGTTTTGTGTGTGGGAGAGATGAGGGAGAAGGGACTGTATAGCAGAGAATTCCCAAGAGGCACTAATTAGTTGAGTGCTAAACTTTGTTGGTAGAGCACTCTGGGAGTCAAGCAAAGGAGGAAGTCAGCATAGGCTTGAATAGTTGGGGAAGCAAGGGGATGGCAAGGGAATAATAATTTACAAAGCACCTATTATGTGCCGGGCACAGTTCTAAGCACTTTACAAATATTATCTCATTTGAACTTCACAACAACCCTGAGAGGTAGGTGCTGATTTATCCTGATTTTAGAATTAAGGAAACTCAGTCAAACAGAAGTTAAGTGACTTGTCCAGATTCACTTAGCTAGTAGGTGTCTGGGGTCGTATTCAAACTCAAGTCTTCCTGACTCCAGGTCCCATGTGAAACCTAGCTGCCTATAGGTGCAGATCAATGGGTCCTTATTGATTTGGCAGGGAGGGAGAAGGGGAATAGCTGTCCGCAAGGATTCGAAGGGCTTTCTTACAGAAAGATTGTATTTCTTCTTCTTGACCTCAAAGGGGAAAACTGAAGTGAAAGTTACATAGAGGCAGATTTGGAGTAAATATGAAAAAAAACCTTTCAATGAAAAGTTAAAAAGCCAAAAAGCAGGCTGTCTTCACAAGCAGTGGGTTTGCCCTCACTGGAGGTTTTCAAGCAGAATCTGGAAGAGTATTTGTTGGGGATATTGTAGAGGGATTCCTGCTCTGGCTGGACCAGATAACTTCTATGGTCCTTTCCAACTCTGAGATTCTGTGATAATGAGGCTGATGCGCCCATTGTAGAACAGCTCTGAAGGGAAGGGGAAGGAGCTCAAGACATGGCTCCTCAAGTTTTATTACAGTATACTTTACCTAACATTGCAAAGTCGCCTTTTTCTCCCCCCTACTGTGGCCTTTCTGTCTCTCAACTTTTCTAAATACCTTTTCAGTGTTGAAGAAAAATAAAATAAAACTTACGTAATCAACTCAAGATATATGCAGTGCAGGCTTGAGAAAGACCCCTGGTGGTATCTGAGCAGGGCATTGGCTCAGTACTCCCCCTGCCCCTTTCTCCTTTCTTTCCCTCCCCCTCTTCCCTCTGTCTGTCTCTCTCTGTCTCTCTCTCTCTCTCTCTCCCCACCTTGTTCTCTGTCTCTGTTTCTTTCTTCTCTTTCTGTCTCTCCACCTCTGTTTCTGTTTCTCTCCTCTCTATTTCTCCTCTCCTCTCTCCCTTTTTCACCTTCCCCTGTCTCCTCTCTCTTTTCCTACTCTGTCTCTGTCTCTCTCTGCCTCTCTCCCCCTCTCTGTCTGTCTATTTTTCCTCTCTCTGCCTCTGTCTCTGTTTCTGTTTCTCTCACCTTTGTCCTCTCCTCTTTTCTCTCCCCTTTTCCCCTTCCCCCATCTCCTCCCTCTTTTTCTTCTCTGTCTCTGTCTCTCTTTCTGCCTCTCTCCCTCTCTGTGTCTGTCTCTCTCCTCTCTCTGTCTCCATCTCTCTCCTCCCCTCCCACCTGCATCTGTCTGTCTCTGTCTCTCCCCTTCTTTCTGTCTCCCCCTCTTCTCCTTCATCAGGTATCTAAATTAAAGCCGTCTACAAGTGTCTGAGCCATGGCAGC